ATTCAGAGAATTACTCCTCAGAGAAGAAATTGAAAACATGATAAATACAAAGGGAAAACAAAAAGCTACAAAAAGTAGCCTTATTAAAAAAAATTCTTGTTTAGTGAACACAGAGGAAAGGAAAAAAGTATTAAAAGCCCATAAAACCAGGGCCTGAAAAAAAAATAAACAAGGCGAAATAGTATGCATAATCCTGTTAGTTTTTGAAATATAATTTAAGAGAGAACTAAGGTAAGAGGAAGAAAGTAAGATAAACTCTCAAAAAGAAAACTACAGGTAAATGTACTCACAGCAAACGTAATAAAATATTTAAACAAAAAGATAGTGTGCTGACAAAAAAAATATTCAAGAGACTGAAACAAGAGAAGCAATTATTTGAAATCTGTAAAATATGACATCATACTGAGAAAGGTATTATAAGGCAGAGACAGAGAGCAAGATAGAGGCAACTGCTTCTTGGCCTTTTGGCTAAGATCAAGTGTATGGAGAGATAGAGGAAAAAAGAATGAAAGAAGAAAAGAAAGGAGGGAGGGATGGAGGAAGAAGAAAGAGAAGGAAGGAAGAAAGGAAAGCAGGTAGGCATTGTGGCATACCGAATAAAGTCACTGATGCTGCATCCCATATGAGTGCAAGGTCAAGTCCCTGATGCTCCACTTCTGATCCAGCTCCCTGCTGAAGGAGTCTTGTGGAAGACCTGGAACAAGCTCCTGGTTCCTGGCTTCAGCCTGGCCCAGCCCTAGCCATCATGGCCATTCAAGAAGTGAACCAGCAGATGGAAGATCTCCCTCGCCCTCTCCCTCTTCCTTTCCCTCTCCCTCTCCCTCTGCACTCTCCCTCTCCCTCTCCCTCTCCTTTTAAAAAATGGATCAAAGAACTAAATTTATGACCTAAAACTGAAGACTCTTAGAAGAAAACAGAATAGTCAGTCTTTAGGATTCCAGGTTAGGCAATGACACCAAAAGCACAAAACAAAAATTAGGTAAATTGGACTGTATCAAAATTTAAAAAGAGAGAGAGAGAGAAGAAAGGAAGGAATGAAGAAGAGAGAGAAAGAGAGAGAGAGAGACAATGTCTCCAATAAACATGGAGAGAAAGTCATAATCAAAGTGTTAAGAAATCCACTCAATTGTTACATCAAATGATGTCAGTTTATGACTAAGTGGAATTAATTCCAGAGATTCAGTAATGGATTAATATTACAAAATCCACCAGCAGATGTCAATTTTTTACAAACATCAAATTAAAGGAGAAATGGAGATAATTATCTTTGCAGATACAGAAAATTCATTGGTCTACATCCCATCGATGACAAAAACTGTTCGCAAACTAGGAATAGAAAGAAACTTCACTAATATGATGGTTTCTAAATTAAGATTTAGTAACAAACAGTATATTTAATTACAAAATACTGAAATATTCCTGCCTGAATTCAAAGACAAGTAAAGAATTTCTACCTCATTTTGAAGAACATTCTCAATAAATATTGCTGAAAATACCATATTTTATTGATTCTAAACTGTTTATTTGTTTTTCATTTGAACATCTCTAAAACCAAAGCACATTTAGAAATCAGCACTCTTGCACTATCTAGGGAATAGCTTTGAAAACACCCTAAAGTATATTAAACATGATGATCATTATATATTTGCAAATAAAATGCTAGCTTTTACAATTCAAAAACTAATTAGTTGCTTGAATATTCCATAAAGAATTAACCAGTAATCTTTGGAGTAAAACAGGAGTATAGATACTATCTGTTTTCATTAATACAACAGGAAAATCACCTTTCCGATATTATTTCAAAAGTGTGTACTACTAGGAATCAGTAGTGGATAAGATATAATCATCTTTATTGGGATCTGTAGCAGTTATCTACAAATAGATGAAATTTCCATTTATCTGTTCATTACATATTTTTCTATGATGATTGTATTATCTTAGAATAGTTGTCTATATTTATCTAGATTTCTATGGAATTTTCTGGGACTTGACTAGTAAAATATAATCTTGCATTTTCAAAACAAATACAAAAAAACTAGTTTCTCCCAGTTTGTCTTGAGAGTTATATCAAAAAGGGAAGGGAATATGTTTGCATGAATGTGCTTATGTGTGAATATATGTAATTTTGTAAAAATTGTAAATAGCTACCATTTATTGGATATATACTATGTGTTAAAGTTTAGCAAAGAGTTTTCTAGCATAACATATTTGAACAATATTATAATTATGAAGAATTATATTATTGTTTTCTATATGTAAGACAGTAAGATTTAGAGTAGTTAAGAAACTTGCCCAGAATCAGCTAGTATGTGGCAAAGCCAAGAAGTGAAAATTAGCTTGTCACCCTCCATAGAATGTGTTCATAACTGCTATGTTAATGCTTTTGTTTGTGAAACATTTAAAACAATTACCAATATAGAAGAAAAAAACAATTTCAAATAATTTCCAATATAAAATCTGGGGAAAATGTGATTCACTTATGTCTGCATAAGCAAAGTGTAGCAGTAAATGAGCATTCAAGATTACAAATAACTAGGGTTATAATCAAGTCTAGTATTGGCCCAATAAGCTCTTTGGAAGATACAGTATTTGAACTGAATCTTGAAATCAGATTTCAGTGTGCTGAGAAGACAGGACAAGCATCTGAACAGGGATAATGGCATAAAAAGAGGCTCAGACATAGGAATGGGAACATATATTCAAGTATCTGTGAGTGCTGGGTATTTCAGGGTCCAGTTAGTAACTGTTTGGCCTCCCATGTTCTAAAACAACTGAGAAGTAAACAAATGAGTAAGTAGAAAGTGAACAAAGCATCATTTCTACAAGCTGATATTATTGATAAAGTAGCACATACCTAGGGGAAAGTGTGTTTATAGTACTAAACCCTAGTACTAGAACCACTCACTCATGAGAATTAGTGGTGCCACTTCTAAAAGAAGAGAGTAGATAAGGTAATCTCTCTACTGAGTCCATCCCAAGAAGAAAGAGTGAAGAGTTGGGTAATGGCTGTCCAGTTTCTTCTAAATCTCTTTACTCACCTGTATTACTCACCTTCCTGACGCAATCTTTTCTAGGGTAGAGTGAAAGGACAGGCTGATAGTGTCAGTGTAACAAAGCGCCTTTGTAGGGGAGGGAACGTGAAGAGTGAAGATGAGGGGGGTGCCGCAGCTCACTAGGCTAATCCTCCGCCTTGCGGCGCCAGCACACCGGGTTCTAGTCCCGGTTGGGGCGCCGGATTCTGTCCCGGTTGCCCCTCTTCCAGGCCAGCTCTCTGCTGTGGCCAGGGAGTGCAGTGGAGGATGGCCCAAGTGCTTGGGCCCTGCACCCCATGGGAGACCAGGATAAGTACCTGGCTCCTGCCATCGGATCGGCACGGTGCACCGGCTGCAGCTCGCTGGCCGCGGCAGCCATTGGAGGGTGAACCAAGGGCAAAGGAAGACCTTTCTCTCTCTGTCTCTCTCTCACTTTCCACTCTGCCTGTCAAAAAAAAAAAAAAAAAAAAAAAAAAAAGTGAAGATGACATGATGCATCCCTTTACCTGGCCACACTTGAAAATGTATACTAGAAATGTCAAGAATTGAATATTTTCCTAATTTGCCACATTGGCATACAATGCTAGAGATTCCTACCTTCTCTTAAACATTCCTAACAACAATTAGGCAGAAGAATTGAAATATTCCACGTCAAAGTGACTCAAAAATCTCCTAATTCACTTCAAAAGGTCATTACTTAAACATAAGAGCAGTCAGGAAATGAGTATGTTCTGACAAGTTTTGTTCCTTTTGGAATGGAAAGGTGGTTGTGTATCTAACCTAAGCATATGTAAAATGGTATCAAATAAAAAGAAAGGAAAGACTGTGGACTTCATTGTCTTAGGCTAGTCTGTGAGCTGACTCTTTATCTATGTTTTGGAATTTCAAGAGTACATGAAAAGTGAGACTCCACTTGACAACTTTAGATAGAATTGAAACTTTTTGGACAAGATAGGTGTTATTCTAGAATGAGGTTTTTCTTTCCTTTATTTATATAAAAGGAAGACATTTCCTATATCATACATACAGATTTACAGTCATAATGATACCACCACTCCCTTCTCCTGCTCACACATCTACCCTCTTACCTCCTTCCTTTCTTATTTTTTCTTTTAATCTTTACAATGATATACTTACAGTTTATTTTATAATCACAAGCTTAACCCTCCACTAAATAAAGAATAATTCAACAAGCAGTAAGAGGTCTTTCTATTCACATTTGATAATGTTTATAGGCTTAACAATGCAATACATTGTTCTCTGGAGTAATTCCAAATTCCTTTACATGACATACAGTTAAATTAATACTTCCTCTTCAAGCTCATCTTTTTCTACCTCCCCCTTCATCCAATCCTAACACTCAACACTAGAGCCAGAAGAACTGTTTATAATTCCACAAATATATCAGGCTTTCACATGGTTCAGGGGTTTGTATTTTCCTCTTCACTAAACGTTCTTCCTGTTTACCTCAATGACAACTCTGATTTCTCCTTCATCATTCCACGGAAACACAGATAGTCCTGACAATGTGTTTGAATCCCCATTCTCTTTTTATCCCTTTTCATGGCACTCACAAAAATACTTTCAGTTGCTTGCTTATCTAAAGTCTCATTGTACATGAAGGGGATCATTCAAACTGGGTCTTTATTTTTTTCTTTGGTATCTCCAGTTATTACCGCTGGGAGCGGCTTATAGTAGGTGATAAATAAACATTAGTTACTTTAAACCCATTTAATATTTAAAGGTAATTATCTCTTCCTAAACTTTCAAAATTCACAAAGTTCCAAAGATAATTTCAAGGCAACATCACCTCTGTAAACATAACATTATTACCTAAAATGTAATGTATTGAAGTGAAATGGACATTTTGAGATTTGATAATTGTTTCAGCCCTGTTTATTCTGTTGAGGAACAGTGTTTATTTTCTTCATACTATTTCTTGAACTCTTTTTTTCATCTATTTAAAATTATACCTTTAAAACATTATTTGTTTATATTTTACTTGTAGTACATAAGTACAAAAACTAGGCATATGCCATCTGTAATGTAAAGAGAAGAATTCCATTTACAGCAATTTGCTAGGGATCATATATGACACATAAAGGGTGTTCATCATTCTCTACCAGGCTTTATGTCACTTAACATGATGTCTTCCAGTTCCACGCATTTTTTTACTTTTTTTATTTTTAAACATTTATTTAGTAAATGTAAATTTCCAAAGTACAGCTTATGGATTACAATGGCTTTTTCACCCCCATAACTTACCTTCCACCCACACCCCTTCCATCTCCCACTCCCTCTCCCATTCCATTCACATCAAGATTCATTTTCAATTCTCTTTATATACAGAAGATCGATTTAGTATATTAAGTAAAGATTTCATCAGTTTGCACCCACACAGAACATAAAGTGTAAAATACTGTTTGAGTACTACTTATAGCATTAATTCACATTGAACAACACATTAAGGACAGAGATCCTACATGAAGAATAAGTGCACAGTGACTCCTGTTGTTGACTTAAAAATTGACACTCTTGTTTAGGGCATCAGTAATCTCCCCAGGCTCTAGTCATGAGTTGCCAAGGCTGTGGAAGCCTTTTGAGTTCACTGACTCTGATCATATTTAGATAAGGTCATAGTCAATGTGGAAGTTCTCTCCTCCCTTCAGAGAAAGGTACCTCCTTCTTTGATGGCCTGTTCTTCCTACTGGGATCTCACTCACAGAGATCTTTCATTTAGGTCCTTTTTTTTTTTTTTCCCCAGAGTGTCTTGGCTTTCCATGCCTGAAATACTCTCATGGGCTCTTCAGCCAGATCTGAATGCCTTAAGGGCTGATTCTGAGGCCAGAGTGCTATTTAGGACATCTGCCATTCTATGAGTCTGCTGTGTATCCCGCATCCCATGTTGGATCGTTCTCTCCCTTTTTTATTCTATCAGTTAGTATTAGCAGACACTAGTCTTGTTTATGTGATCCCTTTGACTATTAGACCTATCAGTATGATCAATTGTGAACTGAAATTGATCAATCCCACTTGGTCTAGGATTTTTTTTTCAGTATTTGAGCTTTATTGGAAGGGGAGTGGGGAGCAGCCCCCCTCCCCCGGAAGCGCCCACTTCCTCACAGTGGCCCCTGGTGAGGCGTTAAGGCTCCCAGCGGCAGCTGGCGGTTAGGGGGGGTGGTGGCGCGCCTGGCCTAGGTGAGGCTGGAGTTGGAGCTGCTGGTGGTGCTGCCCCGCTTCTGCAGGCAGCGCACGCAGCTGGGCACCTGCAGGCCCATGGTCACCTGGAAGCTGCCACACCACGGTGAAGGCAGGCAGCAGCGGCTGTGTGAACTTGGCCTTGAAGGTGTGCAGCAGCTGTTTGGTGCGGGTGTTGTAGAAGGACAGGAGGCCTTGGTGGAAGTCGCAGTGCACGCCCAGGCAGTCGGGCACCGGGGCGTCCAGCACCTTCACCTTGTTGGCGTGCTTGGCCGTGAAGCTGACCTGCAGCCAGTTGTTGATGTGCAGGCACCGGGACGCGGCTGTCTTGCCCAGCTGCTCCAAGCGGCCCAGGCTGTTCGGCTCGTAGCGGACCTCCCAGTAATGCTCGCTGCCATCGATCAGCGTGTCCCCCAGCACCGTGTAGGACTCAGCCGTGAAACGATCCTGTCCCCCGCGACTGGAGGGCATCCTCTTGGGAGATGGGTTACCCCTGGCCGGGGAGTTGACAGGAGACGCCGTCCGCCCCTTGCCATCTTTCTTGATGTCCTACACCTTCCCGCCCATGGCGTCCCACTCCACGGAGCGATCGTCCACCCGCAGGTTCTATTTGTTGAACTCTTTACTTAGAGTAGGGTTAACCTTATAAGTATAAAGTAAACTGAAAATAGATCTCTGTAAAAATTAAGAGTGGGAATTGGAGAAGGTGGAGGAAGAAGTGTGGCAGTATGAGTGGGAGAGAGGGTACGGTGGGAAGTATCACTATGTTCCTAAATCTGTATATATGAAATATATGAAACTTGTATTACTTAGATAAAATTAAAAAAAGCAAAAATCATAAATATTAAAATTCAATAGTGACATGCTTTAAGGATGTAAAAAGAAGAAAAAATATTAATTACAGGTATATACGTAAGAGATTAAGGGAGCAGGAGTGTTTGAAATTCATAATTTGTTAAGGTTTATTTTTCCATCTGAAAATTATCAAATATATGCCCACTGGAAATTTACGTTTTGAATATAAATGTAATTGTTTTTGCATGAAAGTCATCCTTTCATTGCTGGCTGTATTATAGATATTTGAAATAAATGAATGTTCTTCAATATTAAAATTATACTAGAAAAAATTTAAATCATTCAAGGTTCATATTGGGTTGATTTAGCTGCCCTCACCATTTAATCACCTATAATGATGTGCTTTAGGGTATGATTAAAATTAAGATTTGGATAAGATTCTATAATCGGGAGCATCTTTATCATCATGTAATGCAAAAATCTGCAAACTCACACCTCAAGATGAGCATATTGAGGTTTGACTTTAACGGTGGATTAGAGAGTCAGGCTTCTCAATGAATAGTTTGGGGGCTGTGGTTATAGCTGTATCATACTGTGTACCATGATACCAGAAAACCCACTATGAAACAATCTGTGCACTGAGATCAAAGCAGTATGTCCCGGCAATGCACCATAAAAAGCCAAAGCCTAGGAAAGTCAGTCATTAAACATGGAGTCTATCATGTTTTCTTCCTCCCAGATCAATCCAAAAACAGAGAATATGAGACAGGAGAGCTGAGTATACATGTAAAGAAACCGATGTTCTACTGAGTTAAGTAACTTAAACTTATACACTCAGTAAGAACCGGAATCAGGGTCAAAATCTAGATTTAATCTCAAAACTCACATTGCTATCACAGCATCCACATAGAGAGAGCACAGAGCACTGCTCAGGCAAACGCTCTGTGTGAGTTAGGCAGGAAGTGGGAATAAGACCTTTAGTTTTATGGAACAGAACTCATCCAGAGAAAAGGACCAAAGAAATGGGAATCATGATTTATAAATTCAACATTTATCATGCTCTCTCTTAGTTCTTCTGAATTAGCTCAAGAAAGGGAAACCCTCATTTCTTATAACTGCCAGGCCCAGTTTCCGGAGTGTCCTTCCTTGCAGGGAGATCAAAGAACATGGCTACATGCCAAGCCAAGCATCTTTTCTGATTAGCTATCCCGAGATTTCTTCCTTGGCTGAGATTCAGTGAGAGGGTGCATTGATTTCATCTCAGATTCTCATCTGAGTCATACAGCACACATTCAATAAGTGGCAGAGACACACTGTCATTCTCTCCCTGGAGAACAGCTGACTAAGTGTGGCGAGGCTGTTTGCTAGCATCCCTGCCCTCCTCTGGCTTGTTTCACATAACAACATGCCACAGCTTTTCACCAAACAATACAAGAAACCGCCCTGACTTCACTTCTCCTGACAACGACGGGGGAAATATGAAGCCATGCAAAATGCTGTTGCTCCAAGCTCGGCTCTCAGTAAGCAGATAATCAATCGTCTCCTAGGCCAAGCGGCTTTCTTTCCTCTCCTCTCCCCTTTCTGCCAAATCCCACAGAGTAATCTAGGATGGAAGAAAACTAATGCAAGAGTACTTCCAGAAGTTTACTGGAAAACACAATTGAAGATCAGGTTTTTGTTGTAAGTTTTTTTTTTTAATCCACACATAACTTTTTAATAACATGCATGTTCCATGCTTGCAGGTCTTCAAGAGGTCAAATGGGGAGTAAAAGGTCACAGGTTTCCTTATTACTAAAATAAAAGATTTGAATAAGTTGACAATTGAAATTGTATTTCTGTAGTTATGATTTTTTGGGTTATTATTTCAGTAGCATAGACCAAAATCATCTGTGCAATGCTTTTAGTGGAATGTTACTATAAGAAAATTCCAAATTAAAAATCAAGTAACTGAAATTCTTATTTAAGATCTGGTGCTAATTAATGGTACAACCTTGAGTGTATAATTTCAACTCTGAGCTTAGTTATAGCTCAAGTAGGTGATCTTTGATATTTCTTCTAAATGTGAATGATCAAAGTAACATGCTTTCTCCTTTGCAATTTGTACATTTTCTAATTATCTTAAGGTAGTAATGGCTTAAGGGGACAATTTTATGTTTGAAACTTCTTTAAGATTCATTTTTATTTATTTGAGAAGCAGTTACAGAGAAGGAGAGGGAGAAGGAGTGGGGGGGGGGGAGAGAGAGAAAGAGACAGAAAGAGAGCTCTTCCCTCCAATGGTTCACCCCCAAGATGGCCGCAATGGCTGGAGTTGGGCCAGGCTGAAGCCAAGAGCCAGAAGATGCTGTCCAGGTCCCCACAAGGGTGGCAGGGGCCCAGGCACTTGTGCCACCTCCCTTTCTTTCCCATACACATTAGCAGGGAGCTGGATTGGGAGTGGTATAGCCAGGGATCAAATAGGTGCTCATATGGAACGCTGGCATTGCAAGCAGCAACCTAAGATGCCACACCACAGCTCTGGCCACAAGGACATGATTTTAGATGTAAAAACAAAGCAGTTCTAGTAGTAGTCTATTCTTTATTGATCAGTGTTTCTTTTTTTCTTAGCAAGAATAATCAAACTCATACAGGAAGTAAAAATCATTTTCCATTCTATAATGTCCTATATCTAGCAAACCATCATTCCCATTAGTACTTCCCTTCCACTAAATTTTATATGTTGCTAAGGAAAGTACTGAGGTGAAGGAGCTAAACATTAATGTGTATGCTTGAATTCTACATAGTGCACATTGAATAGAACTACATGAAGCTATAGAGGACAAGAAAGGAATTTCGATTTCACTATTTGAACACCATGTTATAAGTATGCTACAGATTCATTAATACCAACATCAAATCCTCTTTGAGAAATCTCTGCTGATCACCTGGCAAAGAAGTTTCTCAATGTTGAGAAAACAGTCCATTAGCAAATAATAGAGCTCTCTAAAATAAACAGCTATTATTTTTTGCTTCTTATTGCTTGCAAATCTTAAAAGCAGTCACTCCATATCACAGATTGATTAAATCTGAAATTTATTCAGGAAATCAAGCATGGGAAAAAGAAGGAGAAAAATCTATTAAATCTGTATTGCATAAACCGTAGTTCAATTTTACAATTCACAGTTTAGTTACTTAAATGACAGTATTAATAAAGATGAAAAAACACTCAGGGTGAGTTGAGAGACTTGGATTTTTAATACTGACCTTAGGCAAACCCTGCAAGCTCTCAGAGTTCCACTTTCTCACCTGTGAAATACAAGAAATGACCTGATCCCTAAATTCCCTTTCAGCACTGACACTAGAAGATCAAATCCAAATTCAAATCAATCAATGGAAGCCCTGAAAACTCCCCATATTATGAGGTTAGAGACAGTTTCAGCTTTGGTGAGCAGAGCTTTATAGCATTGTTCTTAATGCTGATTAGACATGGAGTACCATCTGTGGAATAAAACAAATGCCAACTCAAAAATAAATAAATAAATAAAAGACTGGGAGTGAAGTAGGCAGGAGTACAGGTTAAAATCCATTAGGCTTGTGAGCTGGAAGACTACACCTTCACCATGCCCCTGTGTCACCTCACGCCCCTGTGTGGCCACATGCCCCTACCTGGCCACACCTGGGTGCCCACCGGCCAATCAGGTTAATTAACCACTCCCCTTTGGAAGTGGGCTAAAAGCCTGGGACGCAATGTGTCCCTCCCTGTGTTACTGGTGAATGGCAGGGTTCTTGTCTTTGCGCATGACAGAAGTCAGGTGTGAGACAGAGAGTAGTAGAAAGTAAAATAGCAAGGTTTATTAGGGAAGGCACATCCATAAGAACAGATGGGCACCTCTCCAGACAGAACCTGAGAGAGAGTGCTCAGTTGCTCAGACCTGGTGGGTGGGGGGAGCGAGGTTACATGGTTGAGTGGAGAGAGTACACCTGAGCAGGCCTGGTGGGTGGCTCAGCAGTGAGGCAGAGGGCTGAGTGCCCAGTCTGGCTGAGGCCGGGGGTTTTTAAGGGGATGAGTCTTTGTCTTCTCATATCTCCTCCAGAAACAAAAGACTTTATGGGTGTAAATACTAAAAACTCCTATCTGAGTTTTCCCCCTGAAGTTATCAGACAAGAGGAAGCCTGGCTGGCATTGTCCCAGTTAGAGGAAGGATGGGCAGGAACCCTTGGAGGATCAGGATCCTGAGCAGGATATTTGAAATGCAAATATCAGGCAGAAGGGGCGGGGACCCCCACCTGGTAGATTATCTGTTAGAAGGGGCAGGGCAGGATGCAAATACTGGGCTGCCCCTGAAATGTTATTGGGATGACTTTGAGATGCATATGCTGGACCTAAATGTCTCCTTAGGCCTTTGTCACACACACATAAGCTCATATCTGACTTCCTTCCTAACACCAGTATTTAGAATTCTTCTCTAAATATTAGGCAAGAATCCTCTCAGGCTTATTAATGTTGGAGATTTATTAATAAGCATATGGTGATATCATATGGCACCCCAAATTTCAATAGCATATGTGGCACCCCAAATGGGACTTCTGGGAAACTTTAAGGGGCCACATTTTCATATAGATTTTAAGGGGTTATTTCTGATACCAGGAAGGCATTTAAAAATCCTCAATAACAGTCCTGCAACAGCTGAAGCCAGATATGGAGCAGATGCGAACATACCTTAGTTCATACGACCCTTCTCAGAGCAAACTGAAGCCTATTCTGCTCAAAAATATCATCAGATTTTTCCCTGTGGACAGAGAATGCTTGGCACCAGCTTTCTACTCTAGACTGTCCTTTATAAAATGAAAAAGACACAATATCCCATGTGGAAGACAGGTTAATAGTCGAATTCATTCTTTGACATGTGGGTTGAAGACCAAGACAACCTTGAGTTCTGAATTCTAATGGTATAACGAAAAAGCATGTGATTGCATGCCTTTCCAAAAGTCCTCAAATTG